ATACAACAACAACAACAACAACAACAACAACAACAACAACAACAACAACAACAACAACAGCAACAGCAACAGCAACAGCAACAGCAACAGCAACAGCAACAGCAACAACAACAACAACAACAACAGCAACAACAACAGCAACAGCAACAGCAACAACAACAACAACAACAACAACGTCAATCCGAACGCATCTAACACAAAAAACCCTCTAATTTCAGGGCAGATGACAGTGGAAGTCTGTACCAAAGCCTAGATACGAAAATCATTGTAACCAGTGATGGAAACTGCACATGGCTTGCTCCGATCATCCTGAAAAGCGAATGCAAAATTGACGTTGAATTCTTTCCGTTCGACGAACAATCCTGCTTACTCCAGTTCGGTTCTTGGACTTACAGCAGTCTCAGTATAGACGTACACCCCATGGAAAAACAAGCCGACCTCGGTAACTACATTACGAACGGCGAGTGGAACATTATTGATATCAGAGCGAAGCGTCATGAAGATTTTTACCCATGTTGTGAAGAGCCTTACCCATCTATAATATTCACAGTGCGTGTACGACGCCGGATGCTGTACTATGTATCGAACCTTATAATCCCCTGTGCTGTTATCGCGGCTTTAGCGTTTCTTTCGTTTTACCTTCCAGTAGACTCCGGTGAACGTATCTCTCTTGTGATCACGGTGCTTTTAGCAATGACGGTGTATATGCTAATGGTATCGAATTCAATGCCGCCGACATCCGAAGTCATCCCGCTCATAGGAAAGTACTATTTAGCAGTGATGATAGAGATCGCCTTATGTTTGGTTGCGACATGCATGACAATTCGCTGGCACCACAATGACACACCCATGCCAAGATGGTTGCATTCGATAGTGGTACGTGGTTGTGGCAAGTTCTTCTGCGCAAACGGATCAGAGCGGCCGTTCCTCGACGCACCTTCACCCAACAGTTACAACGTGAATAACAACCAAATGGCGCTGGCAACCAGAAGCGAATACCAACACCCTAACAGCACCAACACACGCACAGTCCAGCTACGAGAGATCACCAGCAACCCAACGACAGATATGGAATCAATCTATAAAGATCTCAGTGTGCTCTCGAAGAAGGCTGAAAGCGACGAAACCGAGGAAGGAATCCGTCACGACTGGAAGAAGGCAGCTCAAGTTTTGGATCGCTTGTTCTTTGTTATATTTCTCGTCACATTTATCCTCTTTTCAGTGATTATATTCACAGCCATACCCAACTATGACAGCTAAGGATCCACAGAAGAACACAGCAAGAATTGAAGAAACATTGTACGTTTCAAGCACAACATATTCATTAGGCTTTTGAGTTAAATATAAAACGATCCAAATACGAGAACCTCGTACAAGGGTTGGGGAACATTGAACTTGTAAATTCTTAACATATATAACAGCTTGTACATTAGGCATGGTGGGTTAAACTATACTTTTAGCAATTTTACTTTTTCGAAACAAAAACTTAATGATCTACAAGAATATTGTACCATATAGGCTTAACGTGTGACTAACCCCAATTATGATTTTTTGTATGTGTAAATATTTGGGTCATTCGAAGACGAAATGTAATATATCTTTATAATAAAAATCCCATCTTGATCAACTTTTTCACTGTCAAAGTTTCCGGATATGATGGCATTAGGTGAATTGCAAATTAGTTTTCCTTTGCTTTCTGTACCAAAAATTTACCTAATGACCTCATATTTGGAAACTTTGACAGTGAAAAAGATGATCAAGATGAGGTTTTTTACTATAAAGATACATTACATTTCTTCTTCGAATGAACCAAATATTACACATACCAAAAATTATATTTAACAATTATTCGCCGAAGGCGAGGTGATTATCGGTGAATAAAAACCGAGACGAAGTCGAGGTTTTTATTCACGATAATCACCGAGCCTGAGGTGAATAATTGTTTTAGTAAATTTCATAGGTGATTATTTGGAAAAAAATAAAAAAATACACATTTCTTCGTCATTTAATTGACAAAAAGGCTTCGGCCGCCATTTTGAAAATCGCTTAGGTGATTATCGCGTAATAATCACCTCAACGGCAACCAATCAGCGTGGAGAATTTTCAATAATCACCTATGTAATTATACTAATTGGGGTTAGTAGCATTTTAACATATATTGTTTTTAACAACTGATGCATTACCATTTGACCTCGTTAAAAAGAACTCTGCGACATAGCGACAACCGTAAAATAAGTTATTTTACACTTCTTAGATATATCTCATTATTTTCTAGGGGCCGGTTGTTCAAAGCTGATATGGTGCTAACCTTCGTTTAAATTTTAATCCGCGTCTTATAGTTCGTATTTCTGCTGTATTATTTATAGTTTGTGTATTTTTGCTTTGTATTATTTCAAAACTTCAGAGGAGAAAACTCCCACAAGGTACAAATATTTCCAAATTTATGAACCAGCTGTTGGAAAGTTTGCTTTGAATTATGGGTTAACCTATATGGATTAAGCTAATCGGCTTTCAATAACCGACTCAACGTTTTCCAAATTATTTGAAAGCAAATGATTAAGGCCATGTTACACGGTGCAATTTTTCTTGCACTTGCAATGCAATTCTACTCTTGAGAGATGTAAAATTGCCAAATACGAGTCTTCATTACACTCCGCTGTTGTTTTCTCAACATATCGAAGATTCTTCGCAGATTTCACTAATTAACATCTCTCAAGAGTAGAATTGCATTGCAAGTTGCAAGAAAAATTGCACCGTGTAACATGGCCTTTAGTGAATAACTCAATATTTAACTACAAACAAGAATAACTATTTATGTAATTATTGTTCTGAAAATAAATCTTATCTTGTAACTGTCTAACTGTCATTCTGAATTCTCAAAGCCACCAAACATTGCACTGCATGGGAGGACATGCAGTCCTACCCGCTACCTTGTCACACGTTTACTGAAATCGCAGGGCCAGAGGTTCAACTCCTAGGCCCAAGGGCCTATAGGTGCATTTTTCCAACTGATAAAATCATAGGCTGCCCAAAAGTGCGTGTTGAAATTTTTACCCTCGCGCGTGGCGCTCGGGCATGCATCGAGTCTACACAGTTTATTATTACGACTATGATTATGATTATGATATCGGAATTTTTGGATTTTCATATACAACCTTTAGTGTGTAATGTACCATCTGTTATTAAGGATACTTCTGATTTTCTTCAAAAATTAAAGAGTTTGGGACACATTCCATCTACTGCTATTTTGTGTACTATAGATGTGATCGGCTTGTACCCTCATATATACCACACGGGGAAGGGTTGGAAGCGCTTCTGGCAGCTTTTAATAGGGCTGAGTGGGAGCTACCGGTTGAGGACTTGATTTCCTTGGCAAGGCTGGTCTTAGAAAACAACTATTTTGAATTTGATGAAAAAATCTTCCGCCAAAAATTGGTCATAATAATAAACTGTGTAGACTCGATGCATGCCCGAGCGCCACGCGCGAGGGTAAAAATTTCAACACGCACTTTTGGGCAGCCTATGATAAAATGTATGAAATTCACACTTGAAATTACCAACTACAAAACCTCGATATACAAACTCGAGCCGAAGGGATTTCAACAGTTGTGTTTTAAGAAATTATTTTTAAAAAAATTGATTTTAACTGAGAAAATCGAGGGAAAATTTTATGCCAATCAGGAGAATTTTGTATATGTGGATATAGCACACTTTATTAAACATTGATTTTTTTAAAAATTTTCTTCATAAAAATTGTAAATAGCCTATAAGTGTTACTGAAAAACCTAATAATATACACGAAAAACAGTGCTAAAAAAAGAAATGCAGTGCAAATTTCATTGACTATATTTGGGCTTTCTGATTGGCTTAAAATATGAAACAATAACAAAGATAGCCAATAAGATACAGCAATTTCCAGCAGAAATAATTAAAAAAAAAAACATTTAGGAGTTTTTAGGAGTGACTGCATATTTTTTCATGTATATTATTAATAATAGTATGGTTTCGAGTAGTGCAATTTGGAAAAACATACACTCGCGAGTTCGTCAAAGACTTCAAATTGCACTCATCCTTCGGACTCGTTCAATTTTGACAGTCTTTGAAAAACTCACTCGTGCATTTTTTTCCAAATTTCACTCGAAACTATGCTATTACCTTACAAATACATTACATATTAGTGTATCTAAACAGTTCTCCCTATAGAGGTGCAGTATAACGGTCAGTTTTTATTGATGGAGAGAAAAAACGCCTGATTACTTTAAATAATATGACTCAGTGATACAATGTTCCTTTGCTATAAAAATTCGCGTCATTTTGTATTGTAACGAGTAGTCAACCTCATAATAAGAACTGCAAGAAAGTCACAAATTAAATTTGAGACTCATTTCCCAGTGCAGAATAGCTAAGTGCAGAAATAGTATATCACGCGCAGTTGCACATAAATTATATATAGCAAATCATGCAGACCGCTGTACTAACGCGGTTATACTTCGATTGTAAGACCTCCACGTATCTTATTAAGACGATGAATAGCGTTTTAATAGTATTAATAATTTCACTGCCTTTGATCTTGCCCGCCAAACGAAGATGAAACAGCTAGCTGGACAATAAGAAAACTAGAGTGCCGTCTGTATTCTCGTAATCTGAGCGTAATGTACCTCGGAACATAAGGAATCCTAGAACTTTTGAAATTCCGAGGTATAAGACAGGTCGGTTCAAGAAATCATTTATAGTACATTTCGCTGAAATTTTTAACTCAGATTCGTAATTTTATATTTTTAAATTTTTCTTAATTAATCTTGTAAATATAACATAAATTTTACGCAATTCATTGCAAAGACTTTTTTAGCGTAATCCAGACTTTGACTGCAAAGCTGCATGGTACCTCTTGTAATAAACGATTTATGCGGTTCCTCTTAAATTAAATATACTTATGACATTTGCCGCCGTTTGGGGACAAATTGCAGGAGTGCGTTTGTAGATTTGCTATACATTATGCACGAAAACATTTAGGAATACAGTAATCTCATACTGTTGCGAAGCGCTGTATAAAGCTAATAACTGAAAAACGCAGTGAACATTAATAGAAATCGCCTTACGATCATTTAAAAGCGATGGTTGAAACTAGATTTCTATAATTGTTACAGCAGGCTTTATTTGAAAGGCTAAAATTAACGTGTTATTGGAATTTTACCCTTATACTAGACTACAAATGCATCAGAATTCAAAATGGCGTTGCCGCATATTGTTGAGTGAATTATGATTGTGTATCTTTTAGATTTTTCAACCATAATGCAGAGTACACGAAAATAAAACTCCGTCTTGGCCGTGTTCTTCCTTGCAATCGGGGGACTAGAAACAACGTCCATACTCTGGCGTCAAATTTCATAGCAGATGTAGCGTTCCAGGTCTTTTTTAGTTCAGTGGCTAACAGTACCTTATGTTAATACTTTAAATACAGGCACGACAGCTATATTCGTTTCATGCGAACGCTACACGACATATGAAAATTGATCCACTTTAAAGCAATTACACGAAGTCACAAAGGCAATTACGAACAGACAATAGTTCATAACACAATTCCTCGACATTGTTTTCAGTCACAGCAGGACAAAATATAACTATGGCTTAAATATATTCAATAATAAATCACCTTCAAAAATATGTCACATTTTCCAATGTGACCACGCTGAACATTTTAGACCGAAATGGATCAGTGAAAACAAAAAGATTATTAAAAATACTAACGCCGAAAAATTCAGTAAAACCACCGATTAGGGCACGACAAAAGGGAGCTCAAAAAATTTAAGGAGCCAAGCAGGTGTGCCGCATTAAAAATTCATGCCAGGAACCTCAAACCTTAAAGGACATTCCATAAACATGTTTTTCAAAACTATGCTTGCAGTTCGTGCACAGTTTGAAATGGAGGTAAAAGTACGCAGTATGTGACACAGTTAATGCCCCCAGTATGAAAAATTCAACTGTGGAATAAGGTAATGTAGGGGTTGTCAAGTGCATATTTGCGACTGTGATAAATATATTATACGAGGGCAAGAATTTGACTGAAGACTAAAGACTAAAGAGAAGCCTGATCTTTTTGTTCAAGAGCCTTGAATTAGTGGAGTCTTTAGTGACTAATTGGAGCAAGATCGTATCACAACAGATTTGAAAATGAAGTGGGCATTTCAACATATGCTGATCTATGGTTTGGCTTTGGCGGTTGCTGCAAATAGCAACTCTACAATCACAGGTAAATAAATTCATCTTCATATCGCACTGGAGGGAATATGTATTTCAGAGTCACTGGTATTATCAGGGAAAATGAGAATAGGTCCATATAATGAACTAAAGATTCCAAGCTTGAAAGAGATGGACAGAAAATATGGAAGGAAATGCACATTCATTTCAATTAATAGACCGATAAGAAAATAGTATATGTTTCAGAGCCATTGGGACATAAGAATATACGTCCATGTTTTATGAACTGAAGATTCGAATTACATACAAAACATATACGCCCGTATTCTAAAAGCTCACTCACACTCAATGAGTGGAGGTTCAATCTGAGCTTTTCTTGAGTGTCAATGCTGTTTTTGAATAGCTGGAGGGTGAGTACATAGTAAGGTACGACACTAACCCTCCAGCTATTCAAAAACAGCACTGACACTCAAGAGAAGCTCAGATTGAACCTCCACTCATTGAGTATGAGTGAGCTTTTAGAATACGGGCGATAGATTGAAAATATGAAATTTATGGCGTAAAACTCTGATAAAACCCAGTTGTTTGCTATACTTGCAAACGTCAGAAACAAATGTAAATTACGAATCCTGCGTGAGAATATTGTATCATTTGTATGACTTATGATTGAGTTCAATGATTATTTGGTTATGCTCTTAATATCCACATAATCGTGCACTAAGCCTGTATTCTTCTTTTAGTCAACCAAACATTTCCAAGTAACAACACAGCAAGAACGGAGACACGAGAAGACAGCCATAAAATAATGGAGGAAGAAAACACTGTAGCTTTAGCTAAAGAACAGCAAAGACTCATGGAAGATTTATTTAAATACTACGACAAGAATGTCAGACCTGTTCAGAAACCAAGCGAGAATGTCACTATACGAATTGTACCATCAGTGAGGCAGATTGTTGAGATCGTGAGTAATTTTGTTAAAGATAAATTTTAGTGCTGTATTTGCTTAGAATATCAGTAGTGCCGTTTGAGCTCAAAATTTATACAGTTGCTGCCAATTTTTTCTTATTGAATCTTGATAGATCAAGCGCAATAAATTTTAAACTATTCTTCCCAGGTTTAGTTAAGGTCCGGTTGTCCATTTGTTTTTATATTATTTCCATTAGCCGATGGACAAAACAGCATAAAATGCGCGACTGTATATAAAGTACAGTTAAATCTTATATATATCACGGTCACGAGCAGCACCAGGGAATATGAATGTATACGAGAGTATGACCCTCTATAGTTTGAAATTTTGTCACTCACCGCAATAGTACAAAATATCTTTCCTATTTTGCAATAACTGTATATATAAACACAATCTTACCTTAAAGTGCATAATCAGCATTTCTCAAGACTCCAGTTTCAATGTTATATCTTGAATTCATTCTAGAATGAAAGACAACAAGTTCTTACTCTATACTTCTGGTTAAGACTGGTAAGTATAAAGGGGCTTAAGGAGGCAGCTAGGAAAGAATAAAGGACAGGGGGGTACCAAATAAATTTTTGCATAGCTAGATAGCTAATTATTAGTGAGCGTCTCAAAGATGAATTTTGACATTAAAATCATCAAAACTGGTCTACTCATATAGTTAATACAATAGATGGTTTGGAAACTCATTAGAATAACAATACATCTCATTATCTATGTTGGTCAACGTTTATTCATAAATCTGGTCCTTCATCGTCACGTGGCAAAAATACAATACACACGTGACGGCGAAGGACCATGTTTATGAATAAACGTTGACTAATATAGATAATGAGTTATATTGTTATTGTAACGAGTTTCCAAACCATCTACTCTATTAACTATGGTCTATTAGACTTAAAGTATGAGATCCAGTCGCTCATTGTTCCGACTGATATATGGCACGTAGAACAGTGGAATTTCCAAAACAATGAAACACCAATGAATCACTTCTACACGAACAAAACAATGAATCACTTCTACACCAGCTACCCTATATAGTCACACGTGGAAATTTTCGAAACAAAAACTTTCAAGATTAACCATTGCACTGAGCCAGTAATTCCGCAGCATATATTATAGTTGGTACTTTTTATCAATTTTTCTGTAGTATTGGTACGACAAGAGTTTTGTATGGAATACAAGTGATTATAGAAATATCAGTAACTTCAATGTGGAACCTGATAAAATTTGGTTGCCTGATATGTCTTTGTATAACAGGTGAGATTTCTTTAATTACTTATGTAGTATTTCTTTATTAGTAGATTTCACTTTTTACATTTGTTGTCTACTAGTAAAAAAGTAAAATTATACCGTAGGGGGTGCTAATCATCCCTATCATCTCTTTTTAAAGAATTACATTTACTAAAATTCCCTAGCTGATATAGTTCATTCAGGGTGTCCACCCTTTGGTGAAGGTGAAATTCAAGGACTTTGCAGGATTTTCAAAGCCCGTGAACACCCTGTTCATTATTTAACAGTCTTATTTATTTATCAGTTCCATCACGGTACTCTTCAGCTTATTTTTTCTGATTTGTTTTAAAAAGTGGAGAATGTTCATTATTATAATAGTCAGCTATCATCTGAACTATCGTATATGCTTTATCTAAGATTCGAGCTATGGTATCTTCAATATTAGATACTGTGGTCCACAGTTATGGAATTCTATTGAAAAACTTAAATTATTTTTTATTGCTTCATATTAAAGTGATAATTTTATGTCGACTTTGAGAATGATACTTTTTCCTCTATCTTATTCATAATGTGTGTAATTATGTTATATTATACGTTGTTGTTTAGCAGATCACCTCGATCTTCGTTCACCTTCGCTAAAGATTTTGCAAGATTAAAACAACATTTAACTTAAATATTCGTCTGTTTTATTCCATTCATTCGTATTTTCGTATTTCCCAGTGCCCAAGAGGGTCAAGACGCGTTGATCTACCACAAAATAAAGACTAAAATTCAAGTGTACAGCGACGGCGAGTGTCGCTGGCTCTCCCCCTATTTCTCCTCCACCTCCTGCAACATTGACAGCACCCACTTCCCTTTCGACGAACAAACGTGCCAGGTGGAGATTGCCTCTTGGACGGCCACGGGTAATGTCATTGATGTTATACTTGACAAGAACCTCACCATTGATACAAGTAACTACTTGGAAAACATCCAGTGGAAACTGCAGTCAGTGTCGGCCTACAGACAGGTCAGATTATTTTGCTTTGCTTTGATCAAGATTATGCATTTCCAATATAGTAAGCGAGTAGACCTTTCCCCTTATGAGTGAAATTTTGATCTAGATATGCCTGGCACAATTAGTAATATTCCGAAATTTCGTTGCGAAATGTTTTAAAATGCGGATAATATAGCCTTGCGAAGTTTGCCGTTTTTCAGTCATTTTGCATTACAATCTAACATTTTGCATCAGTTTGATCAAACTGATTATCAATTTCCCGTTTGTAATACCAAATGACTGAAAAACGGCAAACTTCGCAAGGCTATATTATCCGCATTTTACAACATTTCGCAACGAAACTTCGGAATATTACTAATTTTGTGATGCTCTTTCAAGCTGTGATGAAATTTGTGTCCAGGCATATCTAGATCAAAATTTCACTCATAAGGGGAAAGGTCTATTACGAAGGACGCAGCTCAAGCTGATCGAGTTGAAGGCTTTCTAAGGGCGCCATGGCAGCCACTTTATGACTCATGTCTGGTCACGGAGCATAGTTACGGTGGGAGGGTCAGTTAGGGGCTTAAACCCAACCCACCCTGTCAACATTCCCTGCGGGAGGAAACCGGAGCACCTCTCAAACTCCCGGCCACGCTTTCTGCAAAAGGCCATGTACTATCCCTTTTGCATTATGCTTTAGTGCTTTTTCAGTCTCAATAGGCAATTCCAGCTTTTAGTTCATGCGTGCAGGGGTGGATGGGAAGTAAGGTATCATATTGCTGATTATGCTGAAAAAAATAAAAATGGTGGCCGTGTAAACACGGAGTGATAGCTTATACTTGTAAATATTGAAATATTTCGGTTGTTTCGGCAGTTTTTATTCAAATTTTTCAGCCTTTTCAGCATAATCAGCAATATGATACCTTACTTCCCGTCACCCCCTGCGCGCATAAATTAAAAGCTGGAATTGCCCATTGACTCTCTCATTTTCATTTCCACAGGTCAAGTACTATGGAACTAATGTCCATCCATTCCCTAGCCTGGTTTTCGAGTTTGTTGTCAGACGAAGAAGTCTATTCTACATTATAAACCTTATCTTCCCGTGCGTCATTCTATCCTTTCTTTCCCTGATGACATTCTATATTCCACCTGCATCGGGCGAACGGATTACATTATCAATAAGCTTACTCCTGACTATGTTATTCACGCTGTATATTGTCACCGAAAATCTTCCGCCTGACTCGACCACCGTCCCTCTACTGACTAAATTTATCGGCGTTGCAATGCTGATTATGACTGTATCCTTGTTTGGGACTTCTGTGGCGATAAAATTCGAAGGCAAGGCAGAACCGGTGCCAAGATGGGTCTCCCTGATAGTCGGGAAGTATTTAGCTTGTCTTGTACTTCGGAACACTTCGTGGATACGAGAATGCCCGAGAAGACGACGACGGAATCCCGAAGAGATCGCCTTGAGTGAGCAATCGCATGAGGAAACCCCAAAAGGGTTGCTGGAAAATGAAGGCGGAGCACAACCTGACAACACCTGCCGGCATCGCTCGCCTCAGTCTTCTTGGAACAACACCGAGCAAGGTTCTGGAGAAACCTCAGCCGTTCCCAAAGCAAGTAATCCTATTATGTCCAGGATTGTTCAAATGTTTCGCCATCTTGCAGGTCGTGTCGAGACAAAGGCTGCGATCGAGAAAGCTCAGGAGGAATGGAAGGAAATAGGAATGATACTCAATACGTTGTTTCTCGGGACATTTTTTGCCGTCTTGTTCATTTCCACTATTGTTATCTTTAGTGGCGCAAGATACACTGAGTAATAACATGAAGTACTTGTGTCTAATCGAGTTTAAACAATTTATACGGTACATTCAATTTTTGTTGTAACATAAATTTAGATTGTTTGTTAGTAGTTGCAAGTTAACTTTTGCCTGGGGAAAAAATTCTCAAGGGTAAATTTCTTTCACAGCAGGAAATAATATTTCGATTTCTGGGATCCTAAGTTTTGGGGTCAAAGTTTTCTGCCAAGGTCACTAACATTCTTCCTAATAAATTATTTTCTGTGCCTGGTAGCATTATCCAATGCCCTAACATTTTCTGTCAGCTAAGCCAGGTCTGAAAATTTTCTGGGATCCTATAGAAGCCCACCATCACTTCTTGTTATGGTTTCTTTTGGGTACCAGTTTGCGCAAGTACAGGTATAGATTTCTTACAAGAATTACCTAATTCTCAAACATTATGTCTTGGCAAATTCTGGTAATTAGTGAAAGATCTGTTATTCTAACTAAAGTTAATGTACAGCCTTTCGTCTTCACCACAGAATTTAGTTGACAGCACGTTGGACAAAAGCATGAAAACATGTGTACAACATGCACTGTTTGAAAATCATTGGGATAAGTAGAACATTCTGCCAAGAACCAAGATACAGAACACAACGCTAAAGCTCGATTCTCATGTGATGTAATCAACCAAATATACTGAATAGATATCATTTTGCTTTTGTCTGTTCAGTTTTATATCAGGGTTTCTACATGTCAGGAAGAGTCAAATTCAAAGATTTGTTAAGGACATTCAAAACCATGTATCAGCAAATTCAAGCACTATTATAAATACTGAAAAGAAGGCGTTAGAAATCTTAGGATTCAGTAAAATGTGACGTTGAATTGTTCAGAAAGGGCGCAACTTTAACGAATTTCAAACAGCTTTGTCAGATATGAACATGCAAAATCAAATAACAAAAATTTCAGAAAATATCCATAAACTAAAACAAGACGAATTTAAGGACTTTCAAGTACTTCTTTACAAATTCATGGAAAGTCAAGGACTTGAATTTTTGTTTTAAAATTCAAGGACTTTCAAGTTTTGTACGAACCATGCTATATAATAACTGAGTTAATTTTCCGTTTTCATTGGTCGAGAGCCATGACTAGAGGATTTATGAGTGTACAATCATAGCTCTCTCAGAAGCATATAATTTAAATGCCTCTGCATATGATGAGAGGAGGAACTTCGTCTTTGGTGACTTGTATAATAATTTGAAGCAGCGGTATAATAACAGTCTCTAGTCAAAATACTACCACCCAATAGATAGATCATATAGTAATTACATGGGCATTACGTCATGTGACGGTTATGACTTTCACTGAGGCAGTAACTCATATATACTTTCCACCATTTTGAACTAAGTAATGTAATAAGTAATGAGAACCAATTATGATGATATAATTTTGGCATATCCACTACACTAAGGTTCTATAGCATTGCATTTTAAGACTTTTCTCGCAAACTAAGCAATAAAATCCTAATTATACCCATTGTTCACCATACAAAATAACCTGTCAATCAAGTACAATAGCCATAACTGTTTGGAACAAATGCAGTTACATACATCAAAGGAATAAGCTAAACCACCCCTCTTGAAAAGGATATTAAAAAAACCGTTTCACAATACTAGCCGACTTTATGTGGAATATAAACCCCGCGAGTCCAGCAGTGATATGGCAAAAATCAAAGTGAAAACACAGTTAGTTTCACAGGGCGAGATGAAGAGTGAAAAATTGCAATGGACTGTTCTAGCTTTGGTACTTACGCAGATATCTACATGTCTGTCGACAAGGTTAGTAAGGTTCAAGATTGTTTTAAGAATAACCATTTGTTTAGTAAGTCAAATTATGATGAAGTTCCACGAACTATAATACTATACAATAAAAACCCGTTTAAAAGAGCCAGCGAGTGAAGAACTATACCAGCATGCACGAAATTTAGGCAATTAAGCACCCAAAATACAAGAACGTCAGGCTGACAAATGAGACTTGTTGTTAAAAAAACCTTTATGCTTTAAAGGCAGGAAAATAGGAAGGTACTGACAGATACATGCATATGCTTGATTTTACCATTGCAAATACAAAAACATATTCTGTTGTTTGGTGTTCACTATACGAGGATACATTTTATAAAATTTGGAGGCTTTTAAATTATAGTTGTTAGTGAAATATTGTCAACAGCTCACTAATTAGGGGAACAAATAACTTAAAAGACTAAACCATGGAACATTGTTTTTGACAGGAAATAAGAACCATGCCTACTGACTGTACTGTATTATATAAAAAACCACTTCAGCCTGACATAAAAAAATAGTGGTTCATTTATGCGGATTTTTACAGTAATCTATTTGATAACCTATGAACCATAAACTTTTAACACATGAGTGTATAAATAAAGTCTTAAGTTCCAACCAACGAGTCGTTTTCTAATATAGATTCACCAGGTGAATGACGATTACCAACTTTATTTATATTTGCGCAAAATGCTCATCATATACGCCGTATATTCAGCATAGTCAGCATGCATGCATGCAAGCTTCTTAATGCCTATATCAATATATCAATATATATTTGTCACTATTACCATTATTCTATTTACAAGAGATGGATTAAACGGAAAAAATAAATAAAAGAATGATTATAAATAGATAAGTCAGGTGATAATGACAAGAAGGCATCCAGAAACCATAAGGCTTGTAAAGGGATGTCTCCTTGAGCATAAAATTTAGATATAATAAAAATTCACATTTACGTAAACACTGCTAACCCCATGAGGGGAATCCAATCCGATTCACTTCCAAAGACCATCAATAAACATGAAAATAAATTTATAACTCATGCAGGTATTTCAGTATTCTATTCCTGAAGCAATTTATCGTCTCGGCATTTCTAACTTTATCTGGGAGAGAACACCAGAGTTTATGACCTTGGTAAAGTGTGGTGAACTGTTTTATGTTACTTCTACAAACATGTGATCGATATAGACTAGCGTTTCTTGTGTTGTATTGATGAATTTGATTACTAGTAATAAATAAGTTGTGAAAAGATGAAGGTAGTAGCTTGTTATGATGGGAATACATGAATTTTCCAACGTATAACGAGTTAATCTTATGAATGTCAAGCACATTCAGTTCGATAAAAAGCGGAGCAGTATGCTCGTAAAAATCTGAATTTGTCATCAGTCTGACAATTCGTTTCTGTAATACGAGTACACGCCTTAAATTTGAGGGGTATGTGGACGACCAAATAATATTGCAGTAAGTAAGATGTGGATAAATTAAGGTGTAGTATAAAGACAATCTAGTACTCTTACTTAAGGATTTGTAAGAAATGTTTGAACAAACTGTTAAATAATCAATTTAAGCAAAGCTATAAATTGCGGTTAATGGCCGAGTGATATGTTCTAGAAGACTCCATTTGCCCGAGGGTGTTTTCAGTCTGCCAACACATCTGCGTCAAAAAATCAATCCGTGCAAGGTACGTACAAGGTCCAAGTACCTTAGCAGAACAAGGGAACCGTTTTCTAGTCCTGTTAATATTACAAAATATCAGATAAAAATCGAACTTTGGCTACTAAGCATGTGAACAACTGATGCTAACTTGAGATTAACCAATCAGAAATTATCCTGAAGGTTTTTCCTTCACGTGCATACATACAATGCCCCCCTTTATCGCTTCCTTTATTTAACACTATATCTGGGGGATATCTTGTCACGATGAGCTCTGTTTTCTGTGCATGTTCTTTACACGCAATAAACGAGTCAGACACCACTTGGAATAATTATGGCAATGTGCGTATTGCATAACGCACATGCCGGTTTATTAATTTTGTAATCAATGACATAAGTTTAACATAACAAATTATTAACCAAAGTAATTCATTAACAGTTAGCACAGAAAAGGTGGGGGTAATAAAAACGCCCACAACTAACAGTAACAACTATAATAACTAATATACAAGTAGAATAGTCTTCCGTTCAGAAAAACGGGGAGGATGGCGGGGAAAAACTTGACTTTAAAATACAGACGACTTTGCGCTACCAAAGCGAAGAGCAGAATGAACCAGATGCGCATTCTGCTATAGATATGTATCACCTCTCCCTTCCGTTTTCCTGCACGCATTACATTCATGTGATCAGAAAATTACGGGGAAAATACCCATGTGTCCCATGTCAGGTTTGTCTATTTATATATCCTAAGCTCAGGAAGCAATAAAATCTTCATTGGTATGCCAATAATTCCTTTATCGCTTCCTTTATTTAACACTATATCTGGGGGATATCTTGTCACGATGAGCTCTGTTTTCTGTGCATGTTCTTTACCCGCAATAAACGAGTCAGACACCACTTGGAATAATTATGGCAATGTGCGTATTGCATAACGCACATGCCGGTTTATTAATTTTGTAATCAATGACATAAGTTTAACATAACAAATTATTAACCAAAGTAATTCATTAACAGTTAGCACAGAAAAGGTGGGGGTAAAAACGCCACAAGTCTACTTGGGTAAAGAAGACATACCCCACCCCAGCGTGACAAGGCATCGACAGATAAAGTGATTACAGACCGATGAAACAAGCAAGCAGCAATTCTACAAAATTGAGTGATAGTATTGGCAAATATTAATTAAACTGCTCATAATATAAAAGGGGGTGTTAGCTATACACAAACAATTCGTGCCCCTGCGTTGAACTGCCAGGTATAACCACCACCGACAAGACAAAAGTGTTCTGATAGCCTTGCCCCTGCGTCAGCATCACAGAACACTCTAAAGCAGTATGTCGCAGTATAGTAACGTGCATCATAATAATCATTGTAGTCAAGTCTTGCCCCTGCGTCAACTTGACCAGTCAGATGTGCACGGAAGCGGAGTTTGCCAAAATATTAAATGCTTATTGACAGCCATGATCAATCCGGTGAAAAAAGACAAACAACCAAACTCGGCCTATCTAGGCAAAGCGGTTGAGCACAGGCCTGGACCTCGAATATACTTACGAAAGGCGTCGGATTTCCACCGACCCATTGATCGAATTTGGGCATCAGAAAAACCGCATTCCGCAGCAAATGTTGCCGCGCCAATGCGGAAACTATGTCCTTTGTATTTAGTTGGATCGAGACCACATGTCTTGAAAATGAGTGCTAAATAGTCAGTAAAAAGTTTGCGTGAACCCGCGTGGCCCTCGTGCGTTCGAAAAAGCGGGCCATCCGACAAACCCCGGCGTGAAAAATAATCCAGTAAGCTCTGCACTGGGCATATATCTGAACGACGCTTAAGAGTGACTGATACATTTGTTTGGTTGTAAGAATGCTTAAAATCAAAAAATGTGATTTTCAGTCCAATTACGCCGCCTGAATGGTCGACAAGTTGGACAAGCTGATTTAACTGAAGCACACTCGATGACCTGGGACAACAAGTGATTTCCCCAACACGTAAAAAGGCAAAAAATGCCGTTGTACACATTGCTTTAAACATACACGCACGGTATTCGCTCGCACATATGGTTGATGTTTGTTGCAACACCGTGCGAAGGATAGAAAGAGTTATGGGCATGCGTGTATCCAAGCGCGACCCAAGTTTGCCATACCCTTTCAACATTTCAATCACCCAAAAGACCCTAGTGGGGTCTGGCACGCCTGCAAGGCGATGATAATAACCCAGTGCAGAGACATACGTGTTCGCAGTCGAAGCAGCATAATTGCGCTGAAACATGTAGGCTATAAACAAACCCAAATTAGAAGGCGATATGGGCAAATTTACTAAAGCTGTACGGAAAACTACATTTGAAAACTGGCTATACAGGTTCCAGGCCCGGCGATAAGTAGGGATTGATGATGGCTGTAAACTAGATTGAAGTAATTTAGATGTTATATTGGCCAGTTGTGTGGTAGTAGTTGATCTGGTATAACTGCTGGTGATGGTTGTACACCCACTGGAGCTAGATGTTTGAACTTCGAAACCTGTAACCGGGATAAACTATCAGCTAAAACGTTTTTAACTCCCGGAACATGGCGAGCACGAAATAAAATATTGTACTTCAAACATGCCAGCACCAGTCGGCGAACAAATATCATGACAGTCACGTCACGAGAAGTGGCTTTATTTATAATATCAACCAACGCCGCATTATCCGTATAAAACGTGATCCGCTTGTTGCGCATCTTATCTCCCCATACAAAAACACTGAGTACAATTGGGTAGAATTCCAAAATAGTGATATTAAATCGCTTCCAATTTTCAGGCCACTGGCCAAAAAGCCACTCGCAGCCAAAGATCGCACCGTAACCCAAACTACCAGCCGAATCAGTGTAGAGATTTAAACTGAACGAATCAGTCCATACGTCGCTAAGAAAAAACGATCGGCCGTTAAAATCATCTAAAAAGGAACGCCAAATTTCGAGATCCGCTTTTACCGATTTGGTAAGACGGATAAAATGATGCGCAGATTTTATTCCCTTCGTTAAATCGATCAGACGACGCAGAAAAGCCCGACCCGGGACAACGACTGAGCACACAAAATTAAGTAAACCCGTCAATGATTGAATCTCGCGTAAAGTAACTTTTTTGCGTCGAAGAAAGGCTGAAACTAAAATTTTGCATTTCTCAGTTTTGTCCAGAGGCAAACGGGCCTCCATGCGTAAACTATCTAATTCAATGCCTGCGAACGAAAGGATATTTTCCGGACCGACTGTTTTCTCTGGCGCCATTGGTACGCCTAAGTAATCGCAGGGAGATAAGAAACGAGCAAGGTCAATGCGACATTGGTGATAAGTAGGCGCTGCCATAAGATAATCATCAAGAATGTGGATTAAATACGGGATTGACAAGTGTTTCTTAGCAACCCATTCGATAGCAGTGCTAAACATCTCAAAAGTACGACAGGATGACGCACATCCCATTGGCATAGCACGATCATAATAATACTGTCCCTGCCAAAAAATTCCTAAAAGATCGTAATCAGATGATTTGATTGGGATAATGCGAAATGCATTCTTAATATCGGTTTTGGAAAGAAAACAACCAGAACCTAATTGTTTGATCATAGCAACCGCATCATCAACACGAGCATACTGTACTGAAGCATGCTCTTGTGCAATCACATCATTAACCGAATCACCTATGGGAAAAGACAAATGATGAATTAAGCGATATTCCCCCAGGGCTTTCTTAGGAACAACCCCCAAGGGTGAAACACGAAATTTGGGAAAAGGCGGGAAATTGAAAGGCCCGGCAAGTCGACTGGCTGCCAATTCTTTCGAGAGTTTAGCACTAACTATCTCAGGATGGATTTTGTTGCGCAGAAATTAAATTATTTGCAAAAAATGAGGTTCGCGTTCCTTCAAAATGAAGAGAAAAACCAAACTTAAAACCAGTATACAAAATAGATGTCAATCCCGGATCATATCCACATAATAAAGGTTGAAGATTATCAATTCGAACCGGTGTTGGAAGGACGAGATTTGGCCGAGGTCGGGGCAGAGGTGTGCTGTGAGGAACGAAAATTACACCGTAGGGCTGGGTGAATTACACCACACTTGTAACAATTATGTTTATAATTGCAACCAGGGCAGTGATCGCCACGGTGAAACCTGCGACAAAACCCCCTGGGAACAAAGGGCCCGGCAATTGAAGAGGGCAAGTTGTTGCGCACAGGCGGTTGAGATTTTGAAAAACGCGCATTATTAAAATTCTGTGCACGGATCCAAAGTTCCCAATGCGTAAACCCCCATGGCAACTCGGTCGGATTAGATTGACGCAAGAGACGAAATTGTGAGTCATAAAAGCGCCAGTCAGCCCCTCGCACGGCCAAATCCCGGACAACTTCACTATATTTCATCAATGCTGGGGCCTCCATTGGATATTTGGCAGTGTACACCCCTACAAAAATTTGAAAAGCCGAAGTCCATGCACCAATGTTAGCAATGGCTTTCGGCTTTTGGGACGGTTCCAAAGACAACGTCGGCGGAGCGATTATAGAATACCCGGCCACTTTTGAATTTTGATAGTGTTTGGTTTTGGGGGATACGGGGATACGCAGTCATTAAAATGACGTAATTATTCGAGTAGTTTAAAAGGAGAATGGGTAACTATTATATTTCAATGATACGGGGATACGCAGTCATTAAAATGACGTAATTATTCGAGTAGTTTAAGAGGAGAATGGGTAACTATTATTTTTCAATGATACGGGGATACGGGGATACGCAGTCATTAAAATGACGTAATTATTTGAGTAGTTTAAAAGGAGAATGGGTAACTATTATTTTTCAATGATACGGGGATACGGGGATACGCAGTCATTAAAATGACGTAATTATTCGAGTAGTTTAAGAGGAGAATGGGTAACTATTATTTTTCAATGATACGGGAATACGCAGTCATTAAAATGACGTAATTATTCGAGTAGTTTAAGAGGAGAATGGGTAACTATTATTTTTCAATGATACGGGGATACGGGGATACGCAGTCATTAAAATGACGTAATTATTCGAGTAGTTTAAGAGGAGAATGGGTAACTGTTATTTTTCAATGATACGGGGATACGGGGATACGCAGTAACTAAAATGACGTAATTATTCGAGTAGTTTAAGAGGAGAATGGGTAACTATTATTTTTCAATGATACGGGGATACGGGGATACGCAGTCATTAAAATGACGTAATTATTTGAGTAGTTTAAAAGGAGAATGGGTAACTATTATTTTTTAATGATACGGGGATACGGGGATACGCAGTCATTAAAATGACGTAATTATTCGAGTAGTTTAAGAGGAGAATGGGTAACTATTATTTTTCAATGATACGGGGATACGCAGTCATTAAAATGACGTAATTATTTGAGTAGTTTAAAAGGAGAATGGGTAACTATTATTTTTCAATGATACGGGGATACGGGGATACGCAGTCATTAAAATGACGTAATTATTCGAGTAGTTTAAGAGGAGAATGGGTAACTATTATTTTTCAATGATACGGGGCTACGCAGTCAAATCGTGCTCATTTGATATGCAAAATTTATATATACTAATGAGTAATATTTTGAATTTTTTTCTGTGTTGGTGTTGTGTACTCAGGTGAATAATATGTTTGCGATGTTATGCACTCAGAGTAATATTTTGTGCAGGGTTTAGTTGAGAACGTGAGAAATACAATATATGAGTAATATTTTGTGCGGGGTATATTGAGAACGAGAAATACAATATATGAGTAATATTTTGTGCGGGGTTTATTGAGAACGAGAAATACAATATATGAGTAATATTTTGTGCGCGGTTTAGTTGAGAACGTGAGGACTGAGGAATACAATATATGAGTAATGTTTTGTGCGGGGTACTGATTGAGAACGAGAAATACAATATACGAGTAATATTTTGTGCGGGGTTTATTGAGAACGAGAAATACAATATATGAGTAATATTTTGTGCGGGGTTTATTGAGAACGAGAAATACAATATATAAGTTATATTTTGTGCGGGGTTTATTGAGAATGAGAAATACAATATACGAGTAATATTTTGTGCGGAGTTTATTGAGAACGAGAAATACAATATATGAGTAATATTTTGTGCGGGGTTTATTGAGACCGAGAAATAAAATATATGAGTAATATTTTGTGCGGGGTTTATTGAGAACGAGAAATACAATATATGAGTAATATTTTGTGCGCGGTTTAGTTGAGAACGTGAGGAATACAATATATGAGTAATGTTTTGTGCGGGGTATATTGAGAACGAGAAATACACATATACGAGTAATATTTTGTGCGGGGTTTATTGAGAACGAGAACTACAATATATGAGTAATATTTTGTGCGGGGTTTATTGAGAACGAGAAATACAATATATGAGTAATATTTTGTTACGAGTAATATTTTGTGCGGGGTTTATTGAGAACGAGAAATACAATATATGAGTAATATTTTGTGCGGGGTTTATTGAGACCGAGAAATAAAATATATGAGTAATATTTTGTGCGGGGTTTAGTTGAGAACGTGAGGAATACAATATATGAGTAATGTTTTGTGCGGGGTATATTGAGAACGAGAAATACAATATATTTATAACCCTATATTATTGAAAATATAGATTAATTATTTGATTAACGATTCCCCGTTTATTTTGATACCGAAACATTAGAATAATTACGTAATTTCCTTCACTGCGTATCACCGTATCCCCGTATCATTGAAACTTAATATTTACCCAAACACTCGAATAATTACGTCATTTCATTCACTGCGTATCACCGTATCCCCCCAAAATAAACAGTATCATAAATGGACGGGTATTCTATAATCTAGCCACGTCGGCAAAGCTGAACCGTTTTGGGAGCTCACAGACAAGTGATACCGGGTATCACCTGCCCCTGAGCTTATTAAAACACCAAAATCGACGAATTCGTGAGACCAAATCTTGGCCTTAACTTTTGCGCTCACATTCGCATCAATGGGTACATTGATGGAATTAAATTTAGGCAGACCCGGCTCTACAGGCGGTGAGACTTGGATAAAACTAGTCTCACCTGAAAGATTATTTAAGGCAGACGCTACCGGCCCCTGCATAGTAGCGTCTGCAAAACTAGCTATACCTGACGCTACCACAGGCAATTCCCTCGTTTCCACAGCTGAAGATGGCGGCGGAAGAGTAGTGGCGCAGGCTCCATTGAGTGACGCTAGCACAGCTTGGGAGACGGCGGAGACGATCCGTTGAACCGTTTCGTTAGGAACAGTCGTCGCTGGCGATGCTGCATCAGGTGCTGACGTTGTGGCCACGGAGGAAGACGCCTCACAACTAACTCCACTTGACTCTGGTTGCTGCATAGTGGTGGCACTGGCGGTTGCTGTTCTTCTCCGAGAGGATGGACGACGTGGTGCTGCTGGTTGTGCACGACGTTGAACTCTTGTGCTAGGTCGAGTAGCAGGCATTCTGAAAGAAAAAACTAAAGACCGAAGACTTTGCTTAACGGGGGCCACATCAGGCCATGGAATATTAGACAAGAGGAATTTTGGAAAATAACAGACGTCATATTGCACAACCATTTACATATTCATGCAACGGTGACAAATAAAACAACATATAAGCAGCAGAATAATCATGGCATACAGCGAAGGTAGCCGCAATTGATTATCCTTTAACGCCGCAAAAAATAATATACAAGGGCAATCTGAAAACAACATGCCGCACCGTCCCACAATATATTGACAACAACTGTGGGCATCTGAAAACAATAATTGCTCTATCCCACTTAGACATGCATTTTTTCCTTGACACAGGATCGGCAAGTCATATATACCTATAACTATAGAAAAGACATCTTATATACAACACAAGGAAACTACAAGAACACTCCACACACATGAAACAAAACAGATACATAAACTATTAAAGAAGCTGCGAATTGTACGTATATATAACCAGCGCAAATCATGAATATGTCCTGTGTAGAAAAAACCCAATGTTGAAGTCTCAACGTGGGCATCTGAAAACAGTCATGTTGCTCTAGCCCATATAACATAAACATATAGTAGTGGTACATAAACGGCAACCACATACATAGGGGTAAAATATAAAAGAGTATATAATATAGTGCACCATAATTATCAAACAATTATGCAATAATAATGTCTGTACCAACGGCGTAAAATGAACACATATTGGAGCTAAGGACTATAACATGGTGAGAGCCTTCAAGATGGCCCCACGATAGCTACGGTATAAACAGTACTGTCCCTGTGCATTACAGTGCACACCATCTGAGGACAACAAGAGACGATCAGGGTGAGAAAACTCCCTATGTTCCCACACAAAAATGCCTTGTTCCTCAGCAAGGACAACAGACAGGTACTGGCGTAAAAGAGCGGCTTTGGTATTAAACGCATTATCAGGTGCCTGAGTGTGAGGCAGATTCCGATTAATCACTTGGCACACAGCAACAACGCGAACTTTATACTGATCGCGCAGAACGTGCACAAGATCATCGAGTTTCGACCCCACTACTTCAGGGGTGTGACCCGACAAATCGTTAGTGTCCATTTCGAGAATCACGATATCGGGCTTGTACTTTTTGACCCATGAGAGATCATATTTAAGCACTTTATCTACGGTTCTGCCACCCGTACCCAACAAAGAAACATTGCCCGATTCGGGTAGATGAAAATGTGGGGCAGCGCATAAATCAAAGTGCGCTTCCAGGTCGTCCCGTAAACGACGGACAAAGGAATGCCCGAGAAGTAAAATAGTTGGAACACACCCAGACATTACAACTTTCAGATATAAAATGAAAGAAAATTTACCTGATGGAAAAACTTGACTTTAAAATACAGACAACTTTGCGCTACCAAAGCGAAGAGCAGAATGAACCAGATGCGCATTCTGCTATAGATATGTATCACCTCTCCCTTCCGTTTTCCTGCACGCATTACATTCATGTGATCAGAAAATTACGGGGAAAATACCCATGTGTCCCATGTCAAGTTTGTTTATTTATATATCCTAAGCTCAGGAAGCAATAAAATCTTCATTGGTATGCCAATAATTCCTATATTGCATGCACTTTGTTCTGTTATTTTAGTTTAGTATAATTGTGATTCAAATAGCCAACCGTAAGTTACCTTTATGAGAGAGATTTACGATGTATATGTATGTAAAGAAAAACATTTAATAAAGTTTTCATTATTATTATTATTATTATTATTATTATTATTATTATTATTATTATTATTATTATTATTATTATTATTATTATTATTATTATTATTATTATTATTATTATTATTATTATTATTATTATTATTATTATTATTATTATTATTACAATTTAAGTCCGTAAAATTTGTAAATTTGTAAATTAGTTCTTTAGGCGTTTTCTCAAAAGAATGTCATTCCTTTTTAAATATGTTAAATGATCTAGGTCTTGATAAAAGACACCAATATTTCGCTATCAGGAAAATTATGTCTATCGCGATTAGGACAACATATTATATATTTTGTTGCAGAGATAAGGACTGGTTAAATCCGGAATTACTGAACATTTAAGGATACTCATTATTAATATATAAATATTAAGCAGGTTCAAGTAGTCAATTATAAATTACCTAAATTAGTGAGATTTATAATTGTATATATACGTATATAATTTCAATAAAGTTTCCATTATTATTATTACTATTATTATTATTATTATTATTATTATTATTATTATTATTATTGTTTGTCCCCCTTGCTTTTCAATTTATGCGTGAATTCACTCATTAACACGATAAATGATGAAAGGATACAGTGCCTTGGTTATGTTAATGATATATCCTTAAACCCTCGTCATTGGTTCCAATTCGCGGACGATGCTGCAATTATATCTGCACATAACGAAGACAATCAACTACTGTGTAATGCATTTAGTAAATGGTCCTCTTGGGCAGACTTATATATCCGAGTAAATAAGTGCCACACTTTTGGGATCAAAAAGTTTGGGACAAAAGCAGTCCAGTATAAATCTACTATAAAAATCTCTGGTCAACAGGTTCCCCCAATCGAGGACGGTGAAAGTTTTATGTATTTAGGTAAACAATTCAATTTTGAAATGGATTGTACTGAAACCAAAATTGAGATCCTTGATGAAATCCAACACTACTTAAAGAAAATTGATCTTATCCCAATAAATCCATTTTCGAAAATACGCGTGGTTCAAAGTTATGTCTACTCAAAGTTCTTCTGGCGTTTTTCAATCTACTCGCTTACTATAAGCTGGACACATTCTAATCTGGACTCCATAATTTCCAAATATATCCGGAAATGGCTCCAGATCCCAATCAGCGGTAACATTAGGTCGCGGTCACACTAGCGCTTGTGCTTGGAGATTACCACCGGATTAGCGTGCTTGCTTGAACACATACCAAGCTCATGCTAGAATGCAAGCCAAGCACGTCGCGGTCACACTCAAAAAAGCAACGTTTGCTTGCTTGCTGTTGTTGACAGATAAAAATTAAAAACCTATCTAATAAATAATAATCTAAAGTCCATTACATTAAAGGCAACTGATATACATTATTCTTGTGATTTCGTAGGCCTAACGAAGTTTAGACTTTAGAACATAAGAGAAATGTAATTTGTCCTTTATAGTTCAGGCGCAAATCGCTTGCCCGATCGTTATTCATGATCATATTATATGAATTAAATAGGGATGTTAACAATTACTTTGAAATTTTGAATTTGGTTTCTGCTTCAGGTTTCCATACAGAAATACCGTTTATTGATTCAACTTTTTACTGCTTAGCGCGTTGTTGTGTAAGCAAAATAGTTCGAATCTACCGCGGTTCTGTCTCTATTCAAATTAAAAATGACATGTTGAAATTACTTGTCTATTTGCCTCCTAAAACTCCACATTTTATTGGCTGAATTATTTAATCCACTTGAGATCCACATTCTAGCACGATTCAAACATACCCTGTAGTGTGTTTGGATCGTGCTTCGGTGCCTTTGAAATTTCAAGCAAATCGTATCAGATTTCAAGCATGCTTGAGTTTGTGTTTTGCGCGGTCACACTAGCAAGCGCGCTTGGAAGGTGATGTGTTGAGCGATTCAAGTGGATTTAGTCCAAGCAAGCACGATTCTAGCGCTAGTGTGACCGCGACCTAAAGCTTCCTAAATTACAACTGGGAATTGATTTCTGTTCCCCCTCTGACATATATAATCAATATAAACTGACAGTGCGCAGAATCTTGAGGACTTCTGTCAACTCCGATATTCAACAGCTATATACCAAAACGTCATCAAAAAACATCGTCACTGATGATATTATTGAACGGGCGGCTGCTAGTATCTCTGAACAATATATGTTAAGAAACGCTGCAAAGAAGATTCTGGTAAAGAAAAACCTTAACGAAATTTGGTCAAACTTTGTAGAACTAAAAGAACAATCCGTGATCATTACCTGCTTAACTGATACTTGCTATAAGAAGATAATTAAAGTATGGCACGAAATTGTCACTCGAATGCCCAGCAATATAGTATGCTTTGCTAGGAGAGCGTTAATTTTAAGTTTAGGAAATAATTCTAACCTAAAGCGCTGGAACATTCGTGACTCTGCCAACTGTGAGCTGTGCAACAAGTTACAAACCCAGCTACACGTTTTTTCCAACTGCAAGGTAGCCCTAGAACAACAACGCTATACTTGGCGGCATGACTCGATTCTGATGACTATTATTCATCACTTAAAAGTCGCAGTTGGTGCAGATCTTCGACTGTTTGCTGACTGTCCTAACTCAGGTACGACCTGTACTTCAACTTTATTTCGAACGCTAAGACCTG